CCACAGTTTTCTTTGTCTTGTAGTGTGTGCACGTTTAAGGTTTGTGTGCACTGTAACCAGATTTCATTATCGGTTGGGATTTTAAAACTCCTGCAGCAAGTTAGGAGAAAATGAAAGCACATTAGAATGAGAAAATCAGATGCTTATGACAATCTTTAACATGACAAATTAAAAATGTAGCAAACAAATGACAGGGGTTTGTGACCCAATTACAGTGGAGCATTAAAGAAACCCTTATTTCCCACAGAACAAAAGAAATCATCTATTCATGGGCAGGAACAAAAACATACACTTGTATCTTCATATTATGTGCAATATTTACATTTCTAGAGAAGCCCGTTTTAAACCGTTTTGATTATTACTGACATTTATCATTCATTGCGCTGGTCACTTTAAATGAGCCAGGGCAGGCTTTACAAGCTCTTTGCAGCACTGACCTCGTTCCCAGATCACTTCGGAAGAATGAACTTGGTTGGATGAATGATAGAAGAAACTCATTGTGAGAAAGAAGATGCTCTGTGCATGCCTAACCACAATTTTTTTTTTTTTTTTTTTTTTTTTTTGAGAGTCGCCGAATTGTGCCAGCCTGTTAAGATGAAAAATTGCTTACAGCACCTTTAATATTTTAAAGAAAGTATTGAAGTTTGCATAAGTAACAATTGATCGACCCATATCACTTATATAAACTAGGAAATAAGACTTATGATTCCAGAATATTTTTTGTTTTATTGGATACTGTGGCATAATACTGTGAAAATGTCCTTGGTTAGTTAAAGATAATGTGGGAAATATTATTTTAAATTCACTTCACATGGAATTGACCTAAACTGCATGTGTTACCCACTACATTGCAAAGTTACTTGACAAAATTACCATGGACCATTTGAGTTTAAGTTCTTGCATGCAGTTTTCATAAACAAGCTAATGAATGAAAAAAATGACATTAAGTTAAAGATTCAATAACTCTTTTAAAAAGAAAAAAAAAGTTTGATTAGATTAATCATCTTTAGAGAATTAAGTTACACATTTAGATGGTGATTTGTCGCCATCTATTGTCGTTATGTCATTTCTACAGATTTTAGTCATATTTTGAGTTAATAAATCATTATTTCGACTTTTTGTCTTGTAATTTTGATTTAGTATATCATAAATTGGGCTGTTCTTACCAGGCAGAAAAGAGCTTACAGTTTTATCAAAACTTGTCAATTATTTATTGTCAATTGTTTGTACACAATAGTGTTTTGTCTTGGTGATTTGGAGCTTCCAGTACAGAGACCAAAAGTATATAGTGTAAAGTTTTGCAAACAATAAATGTATAAAAAGTTCAAAAAAAAAAAAAAAAAACTCTTAAGTGCCATCTAGAAAGAAGACTGCAGTGGACTGTCAGGACAGCGGAGAGGATTATTGCTTTGCACCTGCCCAACCTCCAGATCTCTACACATCTTTATCTCTATAGATCTTTTTTATTAGATTAGTTGCTACTTGTTTTTATTCATACATATACACAACCCTTACTGTATATGATTTTGTAACCAATGTTTTATTATTTACTTTATCCACTTATGTCATTCTGTGTTCTTGTGTTCATTTGTATATACTGTATGTTTGTGTTCCTGAAAAAAGTGTGTTTGCACACACTTGTCAAATTAATCTCATTCTGATTTCTCTGCACACATATTTCAAAGAAATCACAGCAGCTGAATAACAAACATTATTATTTTACATTATTATGCCATCAAACATAACATTACAGAATATGTCTGGCCTTTTATAATGCTAAATATCTGCTACAGATCATTGACTGCAAAGCATTTATTGTGATTTAAGTTAAATTACTTTATACATTATAATAAGTAGGTTAATTGGAGAAATGAGTAAATGATAGCACTTTAAAAATGAGACTAGTTTAAAAAAAAAACGTGTTTACACGTAAATTGCGTGTTAACACGTAAATGACGTGTTAACACGTACCAACGTGTTAACGCGTAAAAGACGTGTTAACGCGTAAATTACGTGTTAACACGCAATTACGCGTTAACACGTTTGTTGCAGACGTTTTGGCCCCAACGGCCTTCCATACAAAGGCGTCGACTGATTACGTCACTCACACGTAGCGCTTTGTGACGTATTTCAGAATGTACAAAATTTATTATTTAACTCATCTGTCATAAAATCATTGTTAAATATGAACGTTTCACGATAACATTGCTTATACTAGTTTTAAAAAATGCACGTCACTTATTTTAATCATTATATTAATTAACAAAAGGTGCCATGTTTTCAGACCAATATGTTTATTTTATACATCCTGTTAATGCAATTAAGAAATCACCTTTAAAAAAAAAAAAAATAAATAAATAATAGTTTTACACTACAATATATTTTATTTGAGCTCCGTGAATGGACCTTCATAAATCCAGAAAAGCTTGATTTTCACACACGCAGTTTATGTTTTGATGGTTCTGTATCAGTCATTTTTTTATTATTCCACTTATTTTTAATAAAGACAACTATACTTGCCCAGACTTAATCAGATACAATAGCATTCTTTAGACTTTTCATTCTCCAAGCATCTTATTTCATGTTTCTTTCCATTTTAAGGCAATGCAAGTTTATTTATATAGCACGTTTCATATACAGTGGAAATTCGAAGAGCTTTAAATAAACAGGAATAAAAGAGACAAGTAAATAATATAAATTATATTTAAAAATAAAGATGAAAATTTAAGTTATATTTACATAAACATAATTTTAATATTTAAATAATTTATATTTAAATTATATTTTTATACAATATAAACAAATAATGAAAGTGTTAAAACAGGTTATAAAAGAATGAAAAAGAAAAGAAAGACATTATAGTGTGATCTGTCGGACGTAGCACAGTGCTTATTTAGTAAAGGCACAGCTAAACAGATGTGTTTTCAGTCTTGATTTGAATGTGCCTAATGTTGGAGCACATCTGATCATTTCTGGAAGCTGATTCCAGCAGCAGGGAGCATAATAGCTGAAGGTGGATTCACTCTGCTTTGACTGAACTCTTGTCATTTCTTGTTTATATGATTCTAAAGATCTGAGTGATCTGTTAGGTGTCTATTCAGTGAGCATATCTGTAATGTATTGAGGTCATTTAGTGATTTATAGACAAGTAATAATACTTTAAAATCTATTCTGAATGTAACTGGGAGCCAGTGTAAGGACATGAGGACAGGTGTGATGTGCTCTGATTTCCTGGTTCTGGTCAGAATCCTGGCAGCAGCGTTCAGGATGAGCTGTAACTGTCTTGACTGTCTTTTTGGTAAGGCCAGTGAGGAGTCCATTACAGTAATCCATCCTGCTGCTGATAAAAACATTATCAAGTAAAAGATTAGCAAAGTATCTAATTCTTGCAACGTTTTTGAGATTAAAGTATGCCGATTTACTTACTGCTTTGACATGACTACTGAAACTCACATCTGACCGACTGACCCTAGAATAACATCAAGATTCTTGACCTTATTTTTTTGTTTTACCTTTATTGGCCTCATTTGTGAACCAATGATAGCCTCATACACATATTATAAATGAACACAATGCAAACACTAAAACACAAGAAAGTATCACTTATCCAAATTTATTTGAAAATTTAGAAAACATACAAATGATGTCACAGCTTCAGGTCTTCAGGCACGTGTCATTCTGTCACCACAGATTTTTTGACCGAACATGGATTCTCAGGCCATCCTCTCAGTAATGTCATAATAATGCGAGATGTCCTTGTCATGAGCAGCTTCTTAAAACCGAACCAGTACAAATGTAAAACACTGAAAAAGTTACATTCTGTTCACGCATGAAGTCAAAGCAACAGCGAACAGGGGCTGAGAGGAACCAGCAGAGGACTACTGTAGTGAAGGATCCATCAGATTGAGAATTACTTAGCACCATTTCCACATATTCATAATAGAACACTTAAAAGCAAGAAGTCAATTTAATCAAATTAACCTGGCCAATATTTAAATCTTTTTCCTCATAAATATGCATCTCTCGTAGCTCTTTCACACATACAAACAAACATATAAAAGCAAACAATCAATAAGAGTGAGTTATATATATATATATATTTATATATAAAATCTAGGAAAACATAAACATTAGCTTTACATAAAATGTTAGTATCCACATGCCAAAAGACTTTGATAGAAGACAACAGCATCTCCGTTCCTTATTTCCACTTTCAGTCTGACCCATAAAAGGCAAATAACATGCCAACAACGTTCTGCTTTGCTACAAAGTCTGTTAAATATTTCTGAGGTCAGACTTTCAGGGTAAACACCGGTTCTTGAGTACAAGAGAAGGAAATTTGGACAATAAAGACATTAAAGAACAAGGGAAAAAAATCCAAACAGCAAACAGAAAGCAAAGAGGCTTGCTTCGCTTGGTTTTGGACAGTCAGTGCATTAAAACATTCAGAAAAGTTGACACCATTTTACAACCAGGCTGTACATGTTAATATTAGGTAACACACTAGTAAACATGAACTAAAACTCAACAGCGCTTTAATCGAGGTTAGTAAGTGCTGTAAAATGTTAACTTCTACATTTACGTCCTCAAATGTTACAAATGCATGACTGTGTTATTGTTATTGTGATACATTATAAACTAAGAGGAACTAACAGTAGTAAATTAGTGAATTAGCAGTAACCAAGATTACCAAATGCTGTCAAAAGTGATTCATCTTATGGTCATGATACTCAACGCATTAACTAATGTTAACAAATACAACCTGATTGAAGAGCGTCACCAAAGTACTTCTAGACATCAGTCTAGAGATCTGACATCATGATAAAAGAAAAGTTCAGTGTTCAGCTGCTTCTGGGTGAAGCTGGTATATGCTAATCTGTTCCTCATCATTGGCTTGATCTTGTACCGTGATGCTACAATGATTGGCAGAGTCAGTTGTTGTCATGACGAGGTGGCAGGACTGAGCTGATGTCACAGTGACTGAGGTTAAGACGGTCTTCCTATGTGATCTTCAAAGTGCTGCCGTAGGTTTGCTGTACCACCACCTGCACATTGTCCAGGACAAAGTCAAAGGCCATGCTCCACACTGACTCTGAGGACTGCTGCATGAGCCTGAAAAACAATTAATGATGTTTGGGAAATGTGGAATTCATTTAATTTAAAAAATGTGAGTAAAATGGACTATGGCAATGGGATAACTTCTGGTGAAAGCTTTACTTGACGATTTTCAGCTTTGTAAGGTTCCTTTTACAGCACCGATGCTGTAAAGCAGGCTTGTCCAAACTCAGTTCTGGAGGGCCGGTGTCCTGCATAGTTTAGCTCCAGCTACCTTCAACAACCCCCCTGGAAGTTTAGAATACCTAGAAAGAGCTTGATTAGCTGTTTCATTGGGTTGGAACTAAATATGCAGGACAGCGGCCCTCCAGGACCAAGTTTAGACAACCCTGCAGTAATTACAATATATTCAGTTAAATAGACTTATGCATCCATTTGGTTGTTAAGGCATAAAAAAAGTTTGAAAGGCCATTTAAACACAGGCGCAGTCATCAGCAGCAGACCAGCGCAAAAACTTAATGTCCTTATTTTAAAGTCATGGTGTGGAAAAATATTATTTAATGCAGTGCTTCTTGTTAGGTCTGATACCCACTTTATATTATATCTTAGCCAGTCAGAGGAGATCGCTGTTTTTTTTTTTTTTTTAAAGAAATCACATTTTAAAAGCGGCGACTTTGTATGAGATGAGAATTCATCGGAAGCCCTGGGGCTGGCTGACTGAATTTTAAGTCCATGTGCATTTACGCCATTACTGGTGTAAAGATGAGAAAAGAAGTATCATTTTTAACTTCTTTAATTCAGGATAAAATGATAACACCTGTACACACCTGAAAACAAAATCTTTGAAAACGATGATGTCATGCGCATCCAGTTCGTTCCCTTTGAATAAATTGTCCATAATAATGCGATACTCCAGGGGGTGGGGTGGGGGCTTTACTGTTCTACAATTTTATAAATGCTTCCTAAAATCTAATATATTATGTTCAATAGGGGAAAATGTTGTTGTTTTTTACCTGGATATTTAAAAAGAACATGTTATTGAGCGATAATCACAATACCGTGAAGCTGTGATGTTTTCATCCAAAGATATCATAAAGTCAGAATCTTATACCGGCCCATGCCTAGTGCAAACAAATGTGCACAACAATAGCAGAGTACATGCTAGTGTTGTTTTTGCACAGTCAATCAGCAAAGTGTGGATTTTCTTCACATTACAATCAGCAGCGCCGAGCCACCAATAATACATCGTCACTTTTCTACATTTACCGTTTATGGATGAGTGAATGCAGATAATTTTACATCGTCATTGTAGTAAATGTATTGCTAGTAAACCTCTGGATGAACAAGTGTGAATATTCCTGTAGTGTGCTATTGAAACAGGCGATGCTCTTAATGTTTATTGCAGGAAACAGTGAGAGAAATTCAGAATAATACCTCTTCATGTACTTGATGACAAGGTAGAGTTTCTCCAGGTCTTTGTCCTCCACTAGTTCTGTGCAGTACTTCACCACCTGTAAAATGTCCTCCTCCATTGGTTCTGTGAAGACGCGGAAGCGGACATTTTAACTATTTATGCAACAATCATGTTTGGAAAGGTCTGGCTATTGTGCTGTACCTGAGATGGTGGTGACCCATTCACGCAGCAGCGTTCTTATCTCACTGAATTCATGCGCTCCTGCAAGGGTTGGGGCTGGCCGAGGAATGGGTTTGGGTAGTGTCTCTGGGACATCTGTGCTCAGAGAGGACGGGCACTGCACAGTGAAAAACAGCTCAGATGAATACAGATGTGCATTAAATATGATGTGGCTGAAGCACTGGATATGAAGAAGAATGTTTCAGATCAGGCTTACTTTGAGGTCTTGTTCTCTGAGTGGCAGAGGAAGAGTTTTGGAGGGGCTGGTTTTGGCAGGGCTGTTCCCAGGGAACATTTTTTTTAGTGGACTTGAACCATTTTTGGCAGGACTAGTGTTTCTTTTTTTGTAGCGGCGCTTTAATTTCCCTACAGCAGGCTGCTTCAGTTGAGGAAATGAGTTTTTTTGTTCCACTACTAAAACAAGACAGGAAAGTTAGTTGGTATATCAGGGTTTCTGCAGGGTTATCAAGTCAAATTTAGGACTTTAAAGGCAATTTTTAAGACCATTATGAATGAAATTTCAAACACTAAGGATTTTCTAATTTGGCCAGTGGAAAATGTTTACTTGCCCCATTAAAATTCAAACCCACATTTACAAACAAATGTAATTGTAAAAAAGATAATTAAGCAAAATTAGTAAATTGGTAAACTTTCTTTCTTTCTTTACAGATTAAGAAGCTTTAGATGGACAAAGGAAAATTAAGACCCATTTAAAATCATTTAAAGCTTACAACTCCATATTTCAGCGAATTTAAGACTTTTTAAGACCATTATGAAGGAAATTTCAGACTTAAAAGAAAATATGCTTGCCTTGTATTATGATCAGTGTACATTAAACATCAGCAAACATTTATTCAAAACAAGCCAATAAGCGAAACCTTAACATGACTTTGAACCGATTCAGATTTATGAATGAATGGCCTAGTGTAAGTTAATTAACGGTAAATTCTCATTTTTATGTGAACTTTCCCTTTAAACTGAAAAATGCTATAAAAAAGACAGTAAAGTTTGGTGAATATCTGATGTCATATATTATATTTGACACTTTGTTTTTAACTTACCAGTGCTGGCTTGAGCTTGAGCATTTCCCTTATTTCTGTAAGCAGAACACAACTCTTCCTGAAGCTCTCTAGGGAGTGCTGCAAACACATCTGGGTCAACCTGTGGAAGGTTGAGTGTGAGAACATTTTAACTTCTGATGGTCAGTGTAACAACTTCGTTTTCAACTTGTGATTGGGATTTGTACCTGGGAGAAGTCCGGGAGCTCTAATATAATGCCCGTTGTGCATGGTTGACCAGGCTGGTTTGGGAGCTGCAGAACAAGTGAAGGTCCTGGAGGTGGAGTGGAGGGTGGTCGAGGTGGTGTTGAGTAATGAGAAGAAGTGCTGGGCTGCTCCTCTCTGTATCTCCAGGTTTCCTCTACTTGTCTCCTTATGTCTATAGGTAAAGCTTTTAAAACAGATGGGTCCACCTAAAACCAAAGGGAAAACAGTGGTTTCCATTTTATTTCATATTTTAGGGTCGCTTAGATTTTATTACAAAAACATTTATTTTAAATAGTTTTTGTAACGTTATAATTGTCATGTTTAATCAGTTTGATGCATCTTTCCTTAAAGTAATAAGCAGTTGTCTTAAAAAACCTTTGTTTGTACCAAGCACAATCTGTAGACAAAGTCAAGCTACAAAAAGTAAAGCTTAATTTTATTATTATTATTATTATTATAAAAAAAAACTGTTTAAAAATTGTGACAGATAAAAGAAAAGCTTTGTCAATATTACTTTTGACCTACAGAAAAAAATGTGTGATACTTTTGCAAAGTTCATTTTTAATTGCAACATGACTCAGAAAGCTTCCCATTTTCTGTTTTAGTGCATTAAGCTAAAAGATGCTAACCTGAGAGGGAGATGGCACCTCGATGCTGATGTTTAGGCAGGCCCTGACGTGGTTGGGGGTGTGTGGATGGTGATAATCTCCTTTACTTGTTCCAGGCATTGGATCTGAAATGGTGAAGGAGGGTGGTGGTGATGATGATGATGATGTAGAAGGTGGCGGTGATAATGCAGGGGTAACTCTCTTCTGATTGGAGGAGAAAGCTCTGGATGACGAAGCGCTGATTAAACCATCTATAATAAAAGCATCAAGAAAGGTATTAGTTCATTCTTAAAGGTATAAGCGAATTCTTAAAATCCTGCCATCAATGCAAACTCTAAAGCCGTATTCAACGCAGATTTCTCAGAGTGGTATACAGGACCTATTTATTTTGTTATTAATTGCTCAATGTTTTCCATCACTGACATTGATTTTGCATGGCCCTAACTACATGTTGAATAACAAGGAAATATGATTGGACTGTAATTGTGTTTGTCAAATATACCCTGATATGACTGGCTACCACTGATTAGGCTATTTCCGCATGACAGAGGACTGCTAACTGTGCCAGGCTATTAAGAAATTCACGTAAAGATAAAATATGGGACAAAATGTGATTTGAACTCATTAGAAGTCAGCAAAATAAAAATACAGTCTATCCGGCGAAACATCTGGTCATCCTAAATCAAACACAAACTCTGAGAAAGCAACTCACGGCATTCAGGTTTACATGGCATGAAGGCTAGTTTGATCAAGATTCGATCTAAAACACCCGGTCCTGATGACATCGCTCTAACCTTGTGATGGAGACTCCTTGCTGGGGCTGTGGGCAGACTGTTTGGCCAGAAGCAGGTCTCTGATTGATCGGCCACGAGAGGGCCCTTGTCCTGAAGGGTCTGCATGTGATCCATCCAGCTGCTGCACCTGCAGCCCCACTCCCCTCATGTCCTTCACATTCAGCTTCATGGCATGAAACAGCTTAATGGCCTCTGATGCAATCACTCGACCACTGTCTGTGGGCTGAGCTAGTAAAACAGACCTGTAATGTGACAGTCATGAAAAGCTTTTCAACGCACCGAGTCAACATTACAGATGTTGAAATGCTCCTTTTATGGTCACATTTTACAACTTATAACATAATCCTTTATGTACCCAGAACATGTTTGTGAAGTTACAGACACAATTTCAACACATTTTTGTCCAAACTTTTAAAAATTTTAAACTTAAATGACTATAAAGATAGTAGATATTAAATTGCATGTTTATTTCCCCATGTCTATATTCAAAGGTTATGAATTTAAATGATTAAATGCTTTCTTAGCCACTCACTTTTAACCATTTTCTTCTTTACGTGTGTGTGTGTGTGTTATTGAGATGAAAGATGCAAATCACCTGGCAAAGTTGTCACATATCCCATGACCACCATATTTGGCTGGTTCTACCGGCGCACCTGGTTTCCGCATCATGACCTTCAGTGTAACCCGACGACCTCTAAGCCCTGCCCCCTCTAACCTCTTCTGCACCTCCATAGAGAGATTATTGAGGAAAGACTCCGCCTCCTCAACCTAGCAGAGCATGAAAAACTAATGAGGGAAGCCAACAGACTGAGGAAGACAACAGGTCAAACAAAATCATTAACGACTGTAACTTGTATACTTCAAAACCTGTGTGAACCGAATGTTGTAGTTCATCTCCGCAGACACAGACTTTCTCTCTTTCTCACTGCGCACAGGTCTGTCATCTAGTCCCCTGCAAAAGCGAAAGAGCGTCTGTCCCGTCCGTGGCCCAAACTCCCTCTGCAGTTGAGACAGGGACAACTGCTGCAGGTCACCGCAGGTACTCACTCCTAGAGAGGTCAACTTGGAGCTCATTGAGCGACCCACACCTGCACAAAAACATGCAGAAACACCAATTTACACAAACACAACAATAAATACAACTGTACAAGCCTGTTTACAGATGATATTTCTGAAAGGAATTGATGTTTAATTTAACAAGGGTGTTTTAATTAAATTTTAAATGTAAAAAAAATTACAGTAAAACAGGGCTAGGCGATTAATTGAAAAATATCTGAACTCGACATGCAGAACCTATAATCGATCGAATTTTTCCAAGTCGATTTTTTTCTATTATTTTCTCTACCATGTCCCCACTTTGAGTCACGTGACTCCACTCCATTGAGAGCATGCTTGTGGTCGGGAGCAGCTGCATACTTTTTTTAGTACCTCTAAAAAAATTTACCCAACTAATTTAAGCTCTGTGATCGGTTTGGTAATTTTGACATGCATGGGTGGCGTGGTGAGCCACGCGACAGCAGATAGCCCTTCGTTGGAGCGAGTGTTTACAAGTGTGGAGTACTGTGGAGGAGACGTTTTGTGTTTACCTTATGATTAAAGTTGTTACATGTCCACCAGTTCCCGCATCTAAATGAGCGAGCTTTAACTCCTTGTACAGTAAATTAATTTTCAGAAAAAAACAAAACCCCACTGAAGAAACTCGACACAAAGGAACGTAAAAACCCACTGCCAGCTAGCGTTTCGGAAGTGTTATTGCAGAGCAACACAAACAGCACGCAGAACTATAAATGCACAGTTACACACAAGACAGGCGCCGTGGGTCACGCCGATCACTCGATGCAGATGTATAAATCAGTCTTAAAAGTCTGAGGTTGATTTATACATCTGCTGTAACTTTGCAGCCACATCTGATCTCTGGTCAGTTAGGAAGATGGACCCATTCTTGAGCCTTACTTTGCACTAAATGGACGATGATTGTAAGCTGCACCATTACATAAAAATTATTATTTACATTAAAATATTTATTTACAGAAGATGCAAGCAATACACTGTTTAAAATATTGTCTAAAGGGTATACAATAGTTATTTTTTTTAGAAGAGATATTGCCTATTTTCTAAAATAATTTAGATCTAATCACTGAAAATTATTTATTTTGTTTCCAAAAGTGCAAGTTATTTACTTTTTTATAAGAAAAAAATGACTGTTAGTTTCAGGCAATGTGTGTTTTAATTTTAATTGTTCAGCGTTGATGTTCTATAAATAATCATTGAAAGTAGTTTCCTTCCATTATTTTAAAATCAAGCAATGCACCCTTTATCTCTGACTTATAATATGTAAGCATATTTACTGTACAAAACACACACACACACACACACACACACATATATATATATATATATATATATATATATATATATATATATATATATATATATATTTTTTTTTTTTTTTTTTTTTCCTCTCCGTTCATTAATCGTAATACTAAAATGATCAATAATTAATCGTAATCAAGTTAACAAGTTCAATTAACCGTGTCGAGATTTTGACTATGAGCCAAATTGCCCAGCCTTACAGTAAAAACATTTATATATTCATCAAAAGGTTTCTAATAAATTAATTTTCCCCCTTACTATTTGTCAAAGAATCTTGTTTAAATTTTAGATGGTTTCCACAACAGTATTGAGCGTCAGATCTGATTTGTGACATGATACTAAAGTAAATAGTTTTCTATGGAACAAAATCAATGCCTAAAGTCTTGAATTAAAAAGCTTGTTGAATATCACAAACTGAAAAAAATAATACACCGTATTAACAAGTTCTTGCATTTTAATGACTTGAATTCAAGGGTTTGTATTTTTAGGTCCTGAAATTTAACATATCTGTATATTTAAGCTTTGAATATTTCAACGAAAAATATTTCAAACACGTTTTCATACTTAAAAATTCAATAATTCATATTCAATTTTCAGATTTCACTTACAAAATATTCAATACCCTTTAAAAATACGATGTATAATATTCAAAAGATCATTTTCAGTTCATTTTATTTCAGTTCAAATATTCGCTTCCATAAATTCAGTGGATCAAATTCGACTGATAAAATTCAACATTACATCCGGGAACTGCAGGAAAAGCAATACATTGCAGATTGAAGATCGCCAGCTGCTCTAGCTTTCACCAGCAGGTGGAGATGGAATAATGTAAGATTTTTAACCCAGTAAACAGGCGAGAAAAAGGCTATTAAAGGCACAAAAGTAGCATTTAATATTAATATCAATGTTTTGGACATTATAAATGATAAAAAGTATGAGTAAAATGAGTTAATGAGGTTTTAGTCATCTATATTTGCCCTTATGTAACGGAAGCCAGCTGGTGATCGCGTAAATCTCAGTTCTCGGATCCAGTGACAGACGTTGTTCTGCAATCTTATCGGAGCTTGTCTCTTGTCTCCCTGTCCCTGCTCGGACCGGTGCAATTACTTGCACATAAACCGTCTTTTGATGAATATGATGTTACACATTGTCTATCTTTATTGACTCTTTCTTCCATAGACGCGAAGTATTATATTGACAGCTAAAGAATATAAACGTAAGAGAAACAGGAAATGAAATATTATAATAATACAAAATAGATAAACATTGACAGGGCTAAGAACAATTACGAACAAAGATATTCAAAAGCAGAGAGATTTTATGAGAATGTCACACAAAACAGTTTACTTGGAACTGTTAAACAGTGTTCAGGTATGATTTAAGGTTGGTTATGGATGGGGCGTCTAATTTAAAATAATTTAATATAATGTGCGAATGCATTAAAGGAGCGTCTTCAGTTATTATTTAAACGCAGCTATGTCAGGATTGGGATAGGTTATACAATTTCATTATTTAAATTATGATTGTTAATATTAATATTTTATGACATGTATTTGGGCTATTGCGCTTAAATAAGTCATCCGTGATTCTAAATTAATATTTCTATTTATCCTTTTATCACTCTGCCTGTCTTTCTCTTCTTTTTTTTCTAATTATTGGGGTTCTGCCACGGTTAAACGTTTGCAAAATGTCTTAGTTTGTCCAGAATATTGTTTTATTGTTATGTAGCCTATAGGCGAGAAAAATGTATTAACGCAAATGTGGCAATGTCGCAGCCAATGATAAGTAATAAAATGAGTCGCCTGTGGTTTGATAATAGGCAGTTATAACTGACTTTAATTTGTTTTCAGTATTAAATGAGAAAACCATTATTTATAACTTTTCAGCAACCGTTTGTATTTTATGATTAGCAATGTTGATCTTTTTTGCAGTTATTAAACATATAAACTTGTTTAAACTGGTTTAAATTTAATATAGTTGTCACTTCAGCTAGTTTCATAAGATTAATGTTTAGAATGCGTGGTTTGACATGCGTGGTTGAGTGGTTTCAGCAAATCATGGGATTATTACTGAGCTTTAATCGCCATCTACTGGAGAGAATGTATTTGCTCATTTATTCTATTAACTCTTTTCTGCAAGTCTGTTTTATGATTTCACAAAGTCAAACCATTATTTTTTTATTTTATATTTTGAGATGATCATATTTAAATAAACAATTGCTAGGGTATTTTCTTTTTTCTTGTTTAAAAAAAAATCATTAGCCTATAAAATGATAATTTTTGCTTGACAAAGTTATTGGTTTAGGATTCTGGATGCATTTTTGCTAAATGAGTGTTGGATACTCTCACAATAGTTAAATCAATTATATTATCAGAAATGACAGATATAAGAAAACCATTAATATTCATCACTCTTTTTACAATTATACAAGCAATTTCGCGCCGACGTCAGCTCCACTTTCGGAAATGGTAAACAACGAGGTGTTATTCATATAATCCCAAGCATGACATGTCATGATAATAATCGAAACACTCTTGTAGGCTTCTTATGCTTGGCCAAATGTCATGACTTTCACTTTTATTTTACATTATTATGCACAAGCCCAGATATCATCTGAAACTTCGGAAGAATTCCTATGATATTGGCAGCCATCTAGCATCTCTTAACCAGTTTGATATGCGGCGCTGGCTCTGACCGGCCACCGGAGCTTGCGCGGCCACTCGTTCGTCTTTGTCGTGTGCAAGCCACACCGCACATGCATAAAAACGTCAATCATTTCATTCATTCATCAATTCATTCATTTTCCTTTCTGCTTCGTCTCTATTTTAGTGGAAAAGCAATATTCTGGACAAACTAAAGACATTTTGCAAACGTAACCGTGGCAGAACCACAAAAAATAGAAAAAAAGAAGAGAAAGACGATAGCAAAGTGATAGCTACAAACAGAAATATTAATTTAGAATCATGGATGACTTATTTAAGCGCAATAGCCCAAACATGTCATAGAATATTAATATTAATAATCATAATTTAAATAATGAAATTATATAACCTATCCCAATCCTGACATAGCTGCGTTTAAATAATAACTGAAGACGCTCCTTTAATGCATTCGCACATTATATTAAATTATTTTAAATTAGACGCCCCATCCATAACCAACCTTAAATCATACCTGAACACTGTTTAACAGTTCCAAGTAAACTGTTTTGTGTGACATTCTCATAAAATCTCTCTGCTTTTGAATATCTTTGTTCGTAATTGTTCTTAGACCTGTCAATGTTTATCTATTTTGTATTATTATAATATTTCATTTCCTGTTTCTCTTACGTTTATATTCTTTAGCTGTCAATATAATACTTCGCGTCTATGGAAGAAAGAGTCAATAAAGATAGACAATGTATAACATCATATTCATCAAAAGACGGTTTATGTGCAAGTAACCGCACTGGTCCGAGCAGGTAACGAGCCAGCATGGGAGACAAGCTCCGATAAGATTGCAGAACAACGTCTGTCACTGGATCCGAGAACTGAGATTTACGCGATCACCAGCTGGCTTCCGTTACATAAGGGCAAATATAGATGACTAAAACCTCATTTGCTCATTTTACTCATACTTTTTATCATTTATAATGTCCAAAACATTGATATTAATATTAAATGCTACTTTTGTGCCTTTAATAGCCTTTTTCTCGCCTGTTTACTGGGTTAAAAATCTTACATTATTCCATCTCCACCTGCTGGTGAAAGCTAGAGCAGCTGGCGATCTTCAATCTGCAATGTATTGCTTTTCCTGCAGTTCCCGGATGTAATGTTGAATTTTATCAGTCGAATTTGATCCACTGAATTTATGGAAGCGAATATTTGAACTGAAATAAAATGAACTGAAAATGATCTTTTGAATATTATACATCGTATTTTTAAAGGGTATTGAATATTTTGTAAGTGAAATCTGAAAATTGAATATGAATTATTGAATTTTTAAGTATGAAAACGTGTTTGAAATATTTTTCGTTGAAATATTCAAAGCTTAAATATACAGATATGTTAAATTTCAGGACCTAAAAATACAAACCCTGGAATTCAAGTCATTAAAATGCAAGAACTTGTTAATACGGTGTATTATTTTTTTCAGTTTGTGATATTCAACAAGCTTTTTAATTCAAGACTTTAGGCATTGATTTTGTTTCATAGTTTTCTGGTTTAGTGCTCTTCACCATTTTCCTTTGAGTTATTTAATGTTCACAACAACCTGTAGCTCTATAATTAACAAATCTATAGTTGTAAAATTGACTTTACATTAAACACAACATTATCTGTGAAAACTGGACTGAAGCGGTTTCAATTTGCTAGAACTTAAATGTACAGTATGTTAAGCTGCTTTATGAAATGTTTATTAACATGAGTAGTGGGTCATGAAAAGTTCAACTTTGCCATCCCACGAATAAACAATATTATAAAATAAATTACAACAGAAAACGGATATCTTCAATTGTAACAATATTACACAATACAATGTAAGTTTGAGTGTTAGAATTGTTTTGATCTTTTGGATGAAAGTGTAGGATGCTCTGTTCTCACCAGGTAAACTGGACACAGGCTGGTCTCTAATAAAATCATCCACTTCCTCTGATCTGAGTAAATACTGCCCTTTGGGTTTGGCCTTACGGGTTGCCATCCGAGCAAGTAGGATGTTGGAACCTGTTAAAAAGCATAAGCAATATTATCAGAGATAAACCTGCACCAGCAACTGCATTATAAATAGACACACTGATATTAAAGTCCTTTTAGAGAAAAGAAAAGTTGATTCTGTATTCATGACAATATTGTTGCAAGGCTCTGTATGACTTTTAAAATGAATAACTTTAGAAGCGTTAACCAAAGACAGTTTATAAGATTTAGGACATTAAAAGTTTGACTAACACATTGTTATGCATATCTCCTTTTGAGTTTGATGGAAGAACAAAAAAGTAACCAATTCGAAACAAAATAAGGGTGATTAATAAAGTCTTTTACTCATTCCAACTGAGGCACAGCAGCCAGTCTTCTCCTTTATGTCTTCACGGATGGACCGTGCCAGTTCATCAGGAGACACCCCCAGCTCAACCAGAAGAGCTGTGGCATCAACCAGTGCCTCGTCACAGCTCAGCGCTTCAATGTTATGAGTGTAACTGTAAAACAGGCAAACAATAAGCAAGAGAACTTCTGTACTCATCTGCTGAGTTTAAGAATAAAGACAGTAATGAAGCATTACAACTGGTACCTGGCCAGGATCTCATACATGGCCAGAGCCACCTCTTTATAAGCATGGAAGTCATATGGGACAGACTGCAGATCTGGACACAGCTGCTTGGCCCTACCAAAGAACATGCCATTTCGCACACCAGCCTGCCTGTAAAAGAGAGTGAGGACAGTTTTTCAAATCATCATTTTTTTTTAAAAATCTTCTGCTAGAAGGCACACAGTTTTAAAAAACTCAAACGTTTTATGACGTTTTATTCAAGCCCAACATTTCTTTTTGCTTTGAAGCCATCTATAATAATTCATATACTTATATTGTTTTTACTTAAATGGCAAAGTAAGATTAAACAAGCATTAAAATGACAGCTATAGATAAAGCCACAATAAGCTCATGGAACAAACCGGTCACAACCATAGTACATGTAATCTGTAACAAATGGCATTATGATGAACTAAAAATGTCCTGCCTACATTAAATATTTTAGACAATAGTGATATTTGGTTGGTGCTGAAAAATATTAAAACCATGTAGAATTTGTTATTTACATGTAGAAAAATCTCAAAATGGGCAGATATGAAACATTGAATTTTTTTGTTGTGGGCAGCATGTTGCAGGAAAGTGGCCAGGTTTGCAATAATTACCTGGCCTCGTAACTACAAGAGGCAATCTCTGCCATAGAAAGGGCAGCCAGGTCTTCATGCACTCCATTACTGGGAACTTCACCATCCTGTGGAGATGGGGTCATCTCAAGATCCTCATCTGTCTTCTCTAAAGCACAAAAAGGACAAAGGTCGGCTAGTTACAAACTTGCAAAAACCTCTAATAAATTAATTCTGAATTTTGTGACAACATATTTCTTTAAAAATCTGGGCTCACCTTTCCTGTAATGTTTCTGTTTATTCTGGTAATACTGAAACTCAAGCTGAGGGTTTGCACCAGGGCGCTGAGCAACACGGCCTGGACCACGATTACTAGTCACCGCAACTGGTTTCCCTGTAGTACAAATTGACCATCAGTAAAGCTCAGGTTAAGTTAAAGTGGGCTTGAAGGCCCAATTTATACCTCTAAACTTAACATGCGTTTTAATTAATCTGATCACCAAGTCTGTCACGATAGTGAAATTTGGCTGTCTAAAAAATATTTGCAATTATGCAAATGATCATCTATTTCGGTGCATTTATATTTAGTAGGATGCTTTTTTTGGCTCCATAAAGAAATCTAATATATTGTCAAGCCGAATACCTTGGGCTAAAGAGGGCCAGCTGGGGCTTCGAGGCGGAGTGAAAGGAGAGGCGGACTTTGCCCCAGTCTGGTAAAGAAGGCATGCCGTCATTACACTAGTTTTCCGATCGCACACGAGTAAATGCGCCAAATAAGCAAATAAATAAATAAATAAGGGAAAAAAAACATATAGCCTTATGGCCCGCGGGTCAGTTAGCTTACGATCACCCTTCTGCTTCCCCTTTAAATGTAAGGGTGTTGCATAAAATAATAAAGTTTTAATTTCTAAGTGACTTTTCTTTGCTGCGTCCTCCTTGATGTTTCAATAACGCATAATAATCTTTACACCATATTAAAGACACAGCAGCCAATGAAGGTTGTCGAGAGTTTTTGTCAAGTTTAAAAGGTGTGTTTATGCGTGATACATGTAACACACACAACACGCACAACACACACACCAATAAAAACACTAGGAAGATTTGCCACAATGAGTAATTGACAGTGCTGGTTTTTGAAGATAATAAACTACAGTTTGTGCTTTTCAAAGAGAAAAGAAGCTGAAATATCATGACCTATTGCCAAGTATGGTGTCCCATACTCAGAAATGGAGCTCCTGCAAATCTGCAGCCACAAAAGAACACTTACAAAAGTCACAACCTGCAGACCGAACATGGCTTTATAGGAAATTAAGTGAGAAAGGACAACAAAACAAGGCATTCATACTTTGCCATGTTGTACCAAATCAACCCACATTATCATCAAAAATGCATTTGTCATTCACATTCTTTTCATTTGCTTGCTTTACTGCTCACTCATAACATGCGTTCATTTATTTTTTGAGAATAAAAATGAAAGCATTTAAGCCACAGCCACGAGAGTTTGAGCATGTAAAATTCTGTGGTCGTCGTAGTGAAACAGGCAGATTAGTAAAAGATTATGTTGCGCTGATAAAAAGAGCGATTCTAGTCTGCATTTCTGTACAGTGAGGTTGCGTTTTGAACTGCTATTGGTCTTACAAAATCATGTGATGCGAATTCGCAGATCAGAGCTTGAACTTTGAAATGCATCAACACATGAAATTGTCGCACAAGGTTATGTTTCCAGTCTGGGGTGTTCATATGACAACGCCCTTACTTACACAAAAATAATGTGGATCAGTGCAAAATAAAGAGCAAAATTTAAAGAGCATAAATCTATTGGTCACAATAGATGCATTTGAACACAAGTTAATACCAGCTGAAAACAGACAAGGATAATTGATTGAAACTTGCCTATAAGATCTGGTCGGTGTCTAATCCCCACAGAGACAAAGAAGCAGTCCATATCAACATGGAGAACACATGACTGACGCACCTGAGGAGCAGCCATCAAGGAACCTGGGTCAAAGTGAGAGACTAGTATTATTACTATATATTTATTACTATATACACTATATATTACTATATACATTTTATTATTCTTTTGTTGTTGTTTTTTTGTAAGAGTTGCATCAAATAAACACTTGCTTCATAACAACACAAAAAACACAAGAAGAGAGATGCCACCTGAATTGCAGTTAGCTTTGAGCTTCTTCAGCTTCTCTCTTCCAGAGAAAACAGCTCCACCTGCTGCTCGTCGTCTGCTCTGCAGGCTGTTTACATACTCCGAGAACTCATTGCGCCACGTAGAAATGTGATGCAGCCTTGAGTGAGAAAAGAACTCGGATATTATTCCAGCCTCTGCAGAGGATTTTCCTGACTGGTTACTAGAGTTTGCCAGAGTGGAGGAGTTTGAGGTCACGTGATAACTCCCATTTAGCCGGACTGTGGTCTGATCATGCAGACTGGCCTTCTGAGGAGCACCTAAAGTTCCTGAATTGGATGTTGGTTTTTGATGGAGGTCCGTTTGCATATTGTGAGGACCAGGCTGCTTTGCAGGACTGGCTGCTGATATTAAGGACCTCAGATGGGAATTAGCTTTTGATTCAGTATATGAGCAGCAGGGCTCCTCACCCTCCCTGTATTTGTCCTGTGGGAGGTGAGACTGATTGGACGCTTTGTCAACAACATGAGGATGATGGTCTGCAAAGTCCTGAGGCTTTAAGGCACCATTCACAGGGTGTACATGACCGTTAGTTAACAAAGTGTCTTGTGAGCCTCTTGGCAAAATGGAACAGGCGATGTCATCATCATCATCATGAATCCCATTGACTCTCGATTTCTCTGCATCTACCTCAGAGATAATGCAATGCAAACCATTTCTGCTGGACAAATAAAAGAGAAAGAATTATTTCAATAGAAATTGTTAATATATAATCTGCCATTATTGATCTAATTACATAACATTGCTCAGATAAATGTGTTTCAGTAGACCAGTAGTTTTTTTTTTTCAGAAAGAAAAAAAATATATATATATATACTGTAGGACATGCATAATCTCTCAGACAAAAAGAGATACTGATCTTGCATATGCTGTCTTCCAACTATACACAGAAAAATATGGAAGGCTACAAGTCATCCAATAGATTACCCTAAAGGGCAACTATTTTAGCCTGGAGTATTTTGTGTCCCTAGAAGGTGTCTGTAAAGTTTCTGTTTGAAATTGAAGTTTGTTTGAAGATTTTTTATTATACCTCTTTAAATCTGGGAAATCTGAGCTGTTAATACATTGTAGCTGTTTTTGTTACCTGTGGGTTTTATGCAAATGAGCTAGTTCTCCCCGCCCACCATTCCCACATGCATGTCAGAGCCACAGAGATCACTCCGATCCATGTAGCCTTAGATCAGTAGATCAGGGGTGCCCAAACTCGGCCCTGGAGGGCCGGTGTCCTGCATATTTTAGTTCCAACCGCAGTTAAAAACACCTGAACCAGCTAATCAAGCACTTAATAGGCATACTAGAAACTTCCAGGCAGATGTGTTGAAGTTGGGCCTAAACTATGCAGGACACCGGCCCTCCAGGACCGAGTTTGCACACGCCTGACGTAGATAAACAGCACAGTGACAGACAAGAATGAAACAGATCTCCCTTACTGTTAATAGAAACAGTCCCAACTGTTAATTGATATATTTGTTGTGGAGTTAATTCAAGCCTTTCTGCAATGATGAGTCACACACAATGTTGTGTGAGCGCACACACGTTTTGTTTTGCACTGTTTTGTACGACAAATGTGACAGAAAACACATTAACATACACTGCTGTATGGATATCCGTTATGTGAATGTACAAAATAAACCTGACTCAAGTCTAATATAATCCATCCATTTACTTCAAATTAAGGAAAATTCTTCTGTCTGTACTTTGAAACATTACTTTTTTTTTTAATAGAAAGTTATATGCAGAGTCGTACATTTTCTTTATTAGGTGAAAAAAAAGCGTGCTATAAAAAAAAATTCAAGGACAAAATAATTCACTTTTGATGTGGCCATAATAACAATTTTGTGCACATTCATTACTGCAGTATAATTTATTACTTGAATATGTGCACATTCTAATTCAGAATTTTCTCATTTTCAAAAATGTTTTTTTTTGATAGAAACTTTCACATTTTTCATATGAGAGTAATAGACTTTCTGTTATAAATACTTATTTAACCGATTAAATAGTTATATAACAAATGGAAAAGTAAATTAAACTGTTAATTAATAATTTGTGTTTTTTATAAAACTAATTATTTTTACATAAGTCTTGCATGAAAACAGAGGAAATCTAAATGTAAAAACTGGGAAAATAAAGATGTTGAATTTTCCACCAATCCGTTTATTAAAAAACACCTTAGGATAAGGCACACTCACAGCCTGATATCCAGCTGGTGATCGGTTTTCTCAGTGTAGTTAGCCATGTGGTTAGCCTGAGTAGACTTGAGGACGTCTTTAGAAAGAGTATGGCTCGGCTGAGGCTTGATGTCTGGTCCATGGTTGGATGACGGGTCCTGGCCTTCTATTCCAGAAACTCTGGTAAAGTTTAATCCTTTCTGCTTCGCATAGAGCTGATACTGAATATATGAAAGTTGGCGACCTGCTTTTATACTGCACAAAATGCAAGAAAAAAAAAACTATTAGTATTGTGCTTCTGCAAACTGCAAAGTGCACACAAAGGCACCCACCTATCTATGATCCACTCTGGCCGCACTACTTTCTCTCCTTTGAGCTCTTGTATTTTGAAGTTGGGCAGGTTGGTGGCAATGATGTGCGTGGTTTTGGAGCGAGAGTAATACAGATGAAATTGCCCACCATGCAACATCATAAGCCTGCGTAACTCAGCCGCACTGGGATCTACACACACACAAATACAAAACAAATACACTCAAAATGCAAGAGCAGTGGCCCAGTGCTCATCCTTCTGACTCTTTCAGCTGCACAGTTCATTTTGGAGTTTCTTTTTTAAAATATCATATGAATAACAATTCTGAACACAGCTGTTTTGTATTATCAATTTATAAAATAAATATGGTTATTTAATGAAACCTAATTATATACAGTTGAAGTCAGAATTATTAGCCCCCTTTTGATTTTTTTTTCCTTTTTTTAATATTTCCCAAATGATGTTTAACAGAGCACGAAAACTTTCACAGTATGTCTGATAATATTTTTTTCTTTTGGAGAAAGTCTTTTGTTTTATTTCGGCTAGAATAAAAGCAGTTTTTAATTTTTTTAAAAAACAATTTTGAGACAAATTATTAGCCCCTTTAAGCTATTTTTTTGATAGTCTACAGAACAAACCATCGTTATACAATAACTTGCCTAATTACCCTAACCTGCCTAGTTCACCTTATTAACCTAGTTAAGCCTTTAAATGTCACTTTAAGCTGTACAGAAGTGTCTTGAAAAATATCAAGTAAAATATTATTTACTGTCATCATGACAAAGATGAAAAAAATCAGTTATTAGAAATAGGTTTCTAAAACTATTATGCTTAGAAATGTGCTGAAACAATCCTCCCTCCATTAAACAGAAATTGGGGAAAAAAATAAACGGGGCGCTAATAAGTCAGGGGGCTAATAATTCTGACTTCAACAGTAAGTAAAAATAACCTTCTAAAAAGGAAATACAATAATTTTTGGAATATAAGCGGTTTATATTCCAAAGCAATTTATAGGGCTCTATTCACACCTGGTATTAATATTCATTTTCTTCGATCTGATTATAAGTGGACAACGTTAAGTTCAGGTGTGAACAAGGTTTGAAACAGTTTGAACTTGTCCACTTTGACCATACTAATAGGTGGTCGAAAGCGAATTGCAGTTGTAGTGCAGACACAAATTTGGGTTAACGTGTTTGAACAGCCACAAAACACTGCCTTCTCTATGACTGTGATTCTTCTCTATGACTGTGATCTCATTCTTCAGTCTCATTTGAGACACAGTGGAGAGACTGTGATTTAAACTGTCATTGGTAATCTTAGAATTCATATTGGTGGCAATATGTTTAATTAATTTTTTTGGCAAAAATAAATACAAGGCAGCACGGTGGCTCAGTGGTTAGCACTGTCAACTCAAAGCAAGAAGGTCGCTGGTTTGAGTCCTGGCTGGGTCGGTTGGCATTTCTGTGTAGAGTTTGCATGTTCTCCCCGTGTTCGCGTGGGTTTTTTCTGGGTTTCCCCCACCATCTAAAGACATGCAGTACAGGTAAATTGAATAAGCTAAATTGGCCGTAGTGTATGTGCGTGAATGTGAGAGTGTACTGGTGTTTCCCAGTACTGGGACGCAGCTGGAAGGGCATCCGCTGTGTAAAACATATGCTGGATAAGTTATCGGTTGATTCCACTGTGACAACCCCTGATGAATAAAGGGACTAAGCCAAAGGGAAACAAATGGATGAATGAAAAATAAATACATATTTGACTGCAAATTATTTTAAAATAGGCTACGGCTGCTTTCTCTTCAAACAGCAGCTTGCCTGCAGCGCCAACCAACTGGAGTTCTTCATAAGATACAACTTTGTGAATGCTTTATTTCATGTTTAAAGTCTTTAATGTGCCTTTACTAATAATATTCTATTCAAAGCAAAAATTCAAACTTTAGGTGATAGTGCATGCGTTGGATGTGTTCATGTGATTCCTGATCCTTTGCATATGCCTAATTATTTTGGTCAAAGACTTAATTTTTGATTTTTCATTGATATTTGTTAAACAACTTTAATAAATACAAAAACATATAGACATTAAAACTGTAATCGGTTGATTGGAAATTTAAGAAATCTATAATTATATTTTTCTATAAAGAAATTATATCTATAATTTAATTATTCGTTACATGCAGTAGCCTTAGCATTAAGCATATTTACAGATTTTTTTGTACAGCATAAAATTTGCACTAGCTTTGGCAGTATTAAGCCTCAATCACACTACGAGCGACTCGCAGCAGCACAGCAACAAACAGCCGTTCATTTCTACAGAGAGTGAGCGGAATCCGGCGATCTCCATTTATGCAAGTGACAGCAACCGCTGGCGATCAGGTAGGCTTGTCGAGTGACGTGACAAAGTTGAGAATCTGTAAACTTTATGCAAATGAAGAGTGACTTTCTTGAGGGACGACAGCCAATAGGAGCACCAGTAGAGCTCATGTGATCCTCTCTCAGCTCCTGCAGAGGCGAGTTGTATTTTTTGGTGCTGTAGGCCTACATAGAACTGCGTATGCAGCAGGTCATCACCCAGAGCGACAGGCAGCTACAAAGTCACTGCCAGTGTGAAAGAGGCATTAGATTGAAAGATCAAAGAAAAACAATACCTGCCCACAGACCCTCCATTATTAGAGGGTCAAAAATGGACAAAAGAAACCTTTAAATGCAGGGTCTGAATGGTAATGTTTGCTTTGACCACTTGTGATCACATCATGAAAATGTATCTTGATACCAGGTGTGAACAGGGTCTATAATGCAGTTTACATCAAGCAAGCAAACCATGCAAAAGCATGCAACATTTGAAGGCAAATGAGAGAGTCATGTGAGTATTTGTACCCACACACCCCTAGTTTCAGATTTGCTCAGGCTTGACATTAATAATAAATGTTGTCTATATGAAATGCTGGTATCACTTCTGATCATTTGATACAGAATTTAATTATGTTCTGTAGGTCGGTACCTAAAAAAAATTGGAAAAAAAAAAAACTATACATTTAATTTGCTGGGTGTTCACACTCTCATTTTTAAGATAAAAACACTAACTACAAGTTTTTATGACATGTATTGTGCAGAATAACTTACGGAACATCCCAAACAATGCTGTGTGCTTGACCAGGAAGCCCCTGTGTCACACACACAAATGATAATCTGCTGCAGGGAGAAGCGTTTCTGACACCTTTATTGAACTGTACTGGGACATTTTGTGACTATAAAGAGAATAATCCGTTATGCTTGAGCATTATGTCCATTTCTTTGGTCACATTTTGTGACATCACATCTATTGTCCATATTTCAGACAAGCCACAATGGAATTCATTTAAAAGAAGGCCAAAACCAGTCTTCTCAAGGCTTTTTGTCCACTTGTTTGGTGTACACCAAGGTTTAGATGACTGCATTCAAGCATTTATAGGTTTGTTCAAAATAAACCTGGACACACCCTAAAATACAAGTTTAAAAAATAGTGTACAAAATAACCCCTGAATAAAATTGTAAAAGTGAAATATGCACAAAAATCCTTTTGTATATTTACTCTCTCAGACTTGACGCAATATCTATAGTCAGGTGCAACAAATCATCCAGATACTGCCATAATAATAGTAATGACGATGATTATGGTGATGCTGAACATGCACAATGCAGTACAAGGGATTTCATTGGAGTAAGAAAGTTTTTCCACAGCACATTGCAGAGGGGATGCTGGGAGAGTCTGACCTGTGTATCCATTGACATAGATGGCCACACCGCTGAAGATGCAGGAGGACTTTCCATCTTTCTTCTGCTCTCTCGGGGCATCCTTCTGAAACTGCTCCTCAAGCTTAGAGACTTTTGCAGCCATGTAACCTCCCTGAGTAAAAATTCAACAAACAAGATTTTTATTTCAAAGCCTATTCACGTCAACACAGGCTTGCAAGCTCAAGAGCTAAGACAAAGCATACAGCACAAGCTGACCACACACACACGCACACACCTTAATAGAAAAAAACCACACACAATTCTAACCTCTGGAAATGAACAGACTGCAATACAGGCACACACACAAAGGAAAATGTGCAGCGTCTGGCTGACAAGCGTTTGATTACGCCTCAGACATTCAATGAGACTGGAGGTGCAAGTCTGCCCTGCTGGCACGGCGACTCTCTGTCTCCATGGCAACGGAGGGAACGCTGGGATTCAGGAGTTGAGCTTGAACCAATAAACAGACTCTCACACACACTGAAAAATACTCCTGAAAACACTCACTTGCTGGAGGCATCCCTGAACCTAATTTATATCAATCAGAGAGATCAACACACACACACACACACACACACACACACACACACACAACCTAAAGCAAATACAGGTTTTGCGTAGACATATGCTGATGTCCAATAATGCCATACACTGTGATCATGAACGTGCACAATATATTGATGCTGTGGGTTTTTAAAATAATGTAAATAATTATTTAGAATTTCAACTTTCAGATTACCATTAAAGGATATTTATATTGTTGTATCTGCACTGCAGTGTACATCACAGCACCAAGCGCTTCAAGCCTTAATAGACAATTTATGTTCAGCTTCCATTCAACATCAGCTAACCTAACTACAGTCAATGTAATGATATAAAAGCATTGATTAACCTAAGGCAAAGACTATAGAATACACAAGATGCGTCACTCGTATAGTTTTGAATGGAGAAAAGTGTTACAGTCAATATGGCGAATGAAGCCCCGCCTACTAGTACAGGAGCTAATCATCAAATCTCTATAGACTGACGTGTCTGCAGTATAAACGAATGTGAAGTATAGTCAGTCCTTTCAAACACACATCATGAGACAGCAATTACTCAAAGTGTAAACATAGAATCGATTTCACTACTGGAGAAGATTTGCTATCAAGATCAAGCTGTGGATTATTTCAGATGACCAGTGCGACTACATGATCATTATCCAGAGGACAACACTGTGTGATGTGTAACACTGCCGTAAATGAGGTTGGTGTTGTGATCTCATTCCTTTCGAGTTTGCATGCGCACTAGCTCTGGCAACTTGAAAATATGCAGATTTTGTTTAATTCAGACGTTTGGAAACGAAACTTATGAAACAGCTGTTGTTTAATTTTAGTTGACTCCAAATATGTAATATAATTATAAGCTTGGCAAACAGTTTTGAAGAATTTGATGTTTCTCCATTCAGATGGAATGCTCGAAAATACAGCCCAAGAGGCGTTTCAAACAAGGCTGCTAAGTGAAATGACTTGCCTTAAAGGGACATTAATTTATTAGGGAACACCTTATAATGCATTAAAATGTAGTCATCTTTTTATTAAATGGAGTTATTAACTAGGGCTGCAAGGTGGCTCACTTTCAACTCATATTAAGAAGATGCCTGGTTCAAGTCCCAGCTGGAGTTTGCACACTCTCATTTCCCCCACAATCCAAAGACATGCGGTATAGTATAGGTAGATATGATTGGCCATAGCGTATGATTGGATGAATGAGCAAGCGTATGGCTTTTTTGGGCTGCTAAAACAACTAAATGAATGTACTTTATCCTGCTTTTTAAATGCCTATTGCCATAAACGTCAAAATTAGACATTAAACATTTTCTGAGCCATAATAAATTAATAAAGATGAAGCTGATAGAAACAAAACCAGCTGAAAGGTGCATACACTGACCTAGTATGTACTATTAACTCACAAAATGCTGCCAAACCATCAAAAACAATAGCAGAGACAGACATGCAAATGATTCAGAAGCAATCGTATTAACTGACAGTCAGGATGATTCAAAGTACATGGATGAGCCTGTATTATTAGTTTCAGTGATTTTTTATCTCAGCTCAGAATGTTGAGATTGGCCAATCAAAATCAAGCATTCCAGACAGCAGTGCGATAACAGCTAATAAATTTCAGCTATATTTTTCTAAATTAACTTAAATATATAAAATACATTTTTTACAGTAGATTTTAATGCATTGATTAACATTTACTAATGGTACTTTTTTGTAAAGTATTACCTATTGTACCTATCTTCCATTTACAATTTAATTGGCTTAAAACATTCATTTATTCTGAACATGAATATAGACAATAAAGCAATCAAATATTTTGGTTATAATATATTTTTGCAGCTTAGGTCAATGATACTATACATCATAATAAAACCTTCAGCAATTAATTGCAACAAAAAATGATATTGTCAGAAGCCTATTTCTGTGTTTAATCACACTTACACAGTAAAATACATAGTATATTTACTTAAAAATCAAACATTTCTGGTCTCAAATTGTGCGGTAAAACAGTTCTACTGGTTAGAACTAAGATTGTTATTTTATTAGTGAAGACAGAAGCTTGTGGAGTCGTTTATATTAGTGTGGTTCTGCTAATGCCTGAAGAACATGAAGATGCTGAAGCTTGTCAAATCTCTAGCTGGGTCTGGACTGTGGCGACTGAGCAGAGGTGCTGGTCAGCAGTGAAGAAAATTGAGATTACTCACTGGTGTAATACAAATGAAAATCTGTCTAGACTTCAGCAGCAACACACACAAAGCATGATGGGTGATGTACAAACAGCAGAAAGGCAATTAATAGTTAAAAGGAAATCTATGGATAAGTTATATTATTTACATAATGTTCCGTTTTTACAAAGACAGATAGCAAAGACAACACGGGATATATACGAAGACGATTCAGCTCTGAGATAAAACAGCTGTTGAGCCTTTCCTGCTCTCAATAAACACATTTCTGCATAAATAACTAGACTCTTACCTGTCCTCCCCACCCATCATTTTCACTGGCTTTCTTCCTCCATCCATCTCGACTCATACTGAGGGACCTAAAAGACAACAATTCAAAAGAATGAGCCCAAAACTGAAAGCGTGAGTGGCTGAAAATAGACACGGAAAACAAAAAACAAGCACGCACATCTGTTCTCCTCTTTGCACTCATTTATTAGTATGCAGATGAGTGACTCTTAATAAGAAATAATACATCTGAAACCCTGAATAAAGAATAAGTTGTGTCTCTTTTGCTTATAATATAGCACTATTCACAATCCACACGGTTTCAAACCTTTAATGTTTAGATAATATTTCCATGCTTTATTATAGTCACAATACTTTGCTGCAATTATTTTAATAAAGTGTAGTATTTTAGAGTTAACAAAATAAAACACAACTATAGGATGAGGAATTGAACGATAATGGATGTCTCCCAGCCACTTTTATTTTATTTGTTTTTTTCATGCTATTTACAGACACAGTGGCACCTCAGACAATCAAACTGAAAACACTTACTGTCTAGCACAATAAATGTGCAATAGCATACCCACTTTATTACTTTGCTGTGCAATGCATTTTTGCAGATTGCAACTGATTACATTTAATAAACTAAAAATCTAAAGATATATCGGAATATAACAGCCATTACTGTAAACAATGACAAATGTCGTAAAATAAAACGAAAAAATCTGCTTCCTTTTGTTTCTTTAAAAGGACAGCATATAACATTTTACAAGTACAAAGACATACATGCCAGGGGGTATAAACATAACACAAATATACAGAATGTACATAAGTAATAAATCAAATAGTTACAGTGCTAAGCATTTATAAGTACACCTAATATCTTTTAAATTCAGATGTTTAATAGGAAGCTATACAATATTATATTTGTGCATATATATTAGATTAGTCAGTACTGAAGCTAAATCTGGAGTTTATCTAACAATATAACTAATGATAACGGACCAGAAACGAGTACACCCAATTTTATATGTTAGAGAAAAATAATGAATACAAACTTTAAAAGAGGAAAAATCAAGAGAAGCAAAAATTTTTTAAAATATTTTGTTAAAATTTTGTAGGTTGTAATTTTTTTTGCAATATTTTGCATGAATTTAATTTTATTATCTTTGAATTTCTAAATATGTTTGGTGACTAAAATATTACTTTGATAAATATATCTGTTTGATAAATCTGTTTTGTTTAAATGCACCAAAACTCACTGAGAAATGGATACAGATACAATGGATTCAAATATTCACTTTCAAGATGTGATGTACTCAATTATGCTGAGCACTATATATTATAGTTCACAAATCTTTAAAGTGTGTAAAGCTTTCTTATTTAGAGTATGTGATGCTACTAATACACAAGCATATTTCAGTCATCAATACCTTAAAATGTCCAGACCTGCTTTTAAAGCAAAGTCGACCATGTGCACAGCTGGCCTTATTGCCTGACCAGCTGAAAAGTGCTCAAAACTAAACGAGTTTAGGCTGGTTTAGGTATTTTTACTACTGGCATGTGCACTGGAGGCTTTAATGAAGTTGACAAAAGGAATAACACACGTTTACTTTGCTGTCAACACACAACAATATAGCACGCATCATAACTATAACACTGGCTTATTTTACTAGTTTATTATTGCCCTAGATTTTAGACACGATTTACTTTGTATTCAGTATCAGTAACATTTGGCTTTAGTTTAACATCGGCCATCACATGGGGCATGCCTGGCCATGTGAAGCCCCACTGGACTGTCTCGTCTATAGAAGGAAATTCTGTGCAGCAAATTTGGGAATCGACATTCAGACGGTAAGTTAGTGGGACAGTTGATAGTGACAGCAAACATGAAAAACTAACGACTCAAATGACATTTCGTGCATTATAAACTGGTTTGTCGTCCACATTTGAACAGTGTTGCAGAAGTGCAACAGCCGCACACACACACACACACACACCGGATCGATCAGTTCAGTCCAGAACAACACAACTGTAGCGTCACTCGGCGTGTGATGTGCGCTTTCCTTTGAACCCCAAGCCCATGAAAACTGAAATCATTGCTCACCAATTATCCCCCTTCTTTACAGATGTATTTTTGTTCAAACCAAAGCGCCTTTGTTTCCGCTCTTGGGTTGCATCCACCCCTTTTGCGTCAGTTTTGAAGGATTACAAACAGAGGCTTCGTGCATGCTGGGCTCTGTCCATATCAACATGCTCCCGCGACTGCACGATTCAGTCCTTTCACCATTCACTCGTATCTCTTCATTGCTAGCCGCTTGCTCACTGTCGCCTCCGCCAGATTTTCTGCTTGTTTTCGGCGTAAGACCCTCCTCCTTCTCTCAGCCGGGGTCACACAGTGACAGCGCCAGCCCTGTCTGTATCTCACAGCGCCCTCAAGCGGTCAATCAAACACCCTACGCTTGACGCAGCGCGCAGGGGTTTCACTTTTGAATTTTAATCACGTTCTGCTGACGCCACTCCGAGATCTTTCAATAGCAAAGCTTAGCTCTTGCATATTAATGATTTCTTGCCGTTTTTGCCGGGTAGTTTTCCAATGGCGAATGCATGCTCATGAATATTAAGAACTCAGCATTCCCCAAGTAGGATTTACGATTTGCGATTTCCCCACGGATGGTGCTGTTGAATTTAACGGTCTATTGTTGTCGAGCTCAGTGCCAAGCCTTCAGTAAGAATGCGAGGTAGCTGCTTTACACCCCAAAGCCTAACCACAATGTGTTATGGCTCCGTTTCTGTCGATGTCAGACTGTCTATGCTAGTCTGGCACATACTGCTCGGTGTCCCCAGGTAACCTGCGGAGTCCAGACACAGAGGCTGCCTCATGAAAACATCTATTTATAGCTCTGGGAATTCACTCTAGTGTTTATGGCAGAATATATTACAATTGAGGTTACATAACTACATTTGACAGAGAATTATTCATACGCCAAATAAACGGGCTGCAGTGCTACAGTAGGCACGCTTGAATGGCAAGGACTGTAAAAGCTAATGTTGTGATGCTGCATTTTGTTCCTGAACTAATATTTTCAGAGGTGTACATGTAGTTCTTTATTGTGTAGCTGTCTTATTGCAGCAATGCGTCAAATAAACAGTTAACAGTGCAGGTATGGTGGGAAATTACTGCCCTTTTGTGATTTGACCTGGGGATTATAAAAGATGCCTGCTGTTTAGGTCAGATTTTCAACAAGAGGTCGGAGCCCACTAGGGGGCATAAGCAGACTTTCAAAGAGGCCTCAAGAATAATTAAGATAATGAAAAATGAGATAGCAATTAAAATAAGGAAAAAACTAAGGGAGAAAAAATATGAATAAATAATTAAGTTCCCACTGCTGGATATTTAAACACTCACCGGCCACTTTATTAGGTATATGTCCAACTGCTCATTAACGCTAATATGTAATCAGCCAATCTAATGGCAGTAACTCAATGCATTGACATATGTAGACATGGTCAAGATGATCTGCTGCAGTTCAAACTGAGCATCTGAATGGGAAGAAAGGTGATTTAAGTCACTTTAAACATGGCATGGTTGTTGGTGCCAGATGGTCTGCTCTGAGTATTTCAGAAACTGCTAATCTATGGGATTTTCATGCACAACCACCTCTAAGGTTTACAGAGATTGGTTTGAAAAAGAGCTGCAGCAGCAGAAGACCACACTGGCTGTGACTCCTGTCTGCAAAGAACAGCTGAAAACTGCGGCTACAATTGACCCTTAGGTAAGCCACATCCAAAAACCGCCATCCACCAATCGTGGCTTAGCAACCGTAGCTACGCGCAGGGGCTCTGTCAAGCCTTTGCGCGAGGGAAACAGACCAAATCATTGTGCATATGGATTGTACAAATCTGAATCCCGGTATCTTAAAAGTTTGGACAGGAATCACGGGATGGGGGAATTTTTTCCCTTTTCAAAACCAAAAACCCAAGAGGAGAAATGCCAGCATGGATCAAGCTCTGTGAGAGGCGCTAAAGGAGCAGAGTTAAGTTGGTTTTGTTTTGATATTCCTGATACATTCAGTGGTAGACAGCAATTACTCACACACCTCTTACCCTTAACAGATCTAAACTGTTTCCTACAACAAATACAAAGCAGGTTATGTTTCACAGTGTCTTTTTCTTTTTTCGCTCGATATTATGAGTAATGCTCAGTTTAAGCCTTCGCCATAGTAACTTAGTCATACTAATAGCAAATAGATCATAATGACATGAGTTATTGATCCGGCAAATACGAATCTGCGAATCTGTTGCTAACTTTACTTAACTTCATATTTACATCTGTTTCAAACTACGAAGATTTGAAATTACAAATCAACAGAACAAAACAGAGAAATGATCACAAACTGAGCACTTAGGATCAATATACTTCACCCACAGCTGTTTTTCATTAATTTATAAAGAGCACACAAACATACTGACAGTAATAGGTGACTTACTGTACATTGTTATGGGTCAATGAAGCTAATCTTTGGCACAAATCCATCAGTTTCCCCTTTCAGGCTGTTTTATCTATGAATGCATTATGTAGAAGCACTGTCCAGTGTCCATGCTTGTTTCTTCGTCGGTTAGTAACGCTATATTTCATTGCACAACAATTAATCTTATCAGGCTTTTTGGCTAAAAATAGAAAAATCAATTTGATTTCGAATTTTGATTTTGAATCAATTTTATTATTAGATTATATTTAAATTTCCCCTCTCCTGCTGAGCATGAGCTAAGCTGTTGAATGGTTAGCATATGAGGTGGCTAGGCTAAGCTAGCTTCAATTTTGATTGAATTATTCTCTAATAGGTTGCCTATTATGTCGTGAATATACTCCTGTAATTCATACTGCAGTCCTCTTTTGTCTGGCTTTCTCGGATATCTCACCTGTTCGCCAAAAATGACATTATATCTCTGGAAGTGTCTGACACCGGCGCTTACACATTGTTAAAGCCTTGCCAGGCACGAAAGCTTGACAGGCGTAGCAACAGTAACTAAGGAGGGCGGGGCTTGGTGAAGGGTGAATTGGCACAGGCTCACTAAAAT